AGGCTCAGGGGTACAAGATTATCTTGTGTCTGTGTTAATTGGTTTCCCTTTTCTTTGTTGAAGAGGGTCTGTGCAATCCTTCTGCCTAGTCCGCCATCTTGCTGGAACTCCTTTGTCTGGTTTTTGTTTCAGAGTGTAATGCTGACCTTATGAGTTTGGGGCTTATCGCCTTCTGTTCTGGAAAAGTTTGCATAGAACTGGTCTAATTTCTTCCTCAAATATTTAATAGAATTAATCATTAAAACCATATGAGCCTGAATTTTCTTTGTGGAAAGTTTTGTGATTTTGTAATTCAATTTTTAAAACAGATATATGGGTGCTGTTTTTTTGTTGTTGTTGTTGTTACTTTCCTTCTTTATTGAGCTTTGATCATTTGTATCTTTCAAGTGATTTGCTACTTAATCTAAGTTATCAAATTTACTGGCATAAAGTGACATGTACTATTGTCTTATTTTAATGTCAGTAGGATCTGTAACGATGTCTCTTTTTCTTCCTGATATTGGTCATTTGTGTCATCTTCCTTTTTATTCTTTTATCAGTCTAGCTATAGAAGGTGGTCAGTATTATTATCTCTACAAAGCAGCAACTTTTGTTTTCTTTCTTTTTGTATTGCTTGTTATTTCCTTCCTCCTACTTGCTTTCGGTTTAATTTTATCCTTTTCTGTCTTCTAAAGATGGATGCCTGGAGCATTGATTTAAGGCGTTTCTTCTTTTACGTTTTTGGTGAAAGTTTACACAGCAAGTTAGGTTCTCAGTTGATAATTTCCATACAAATTGTTCAGCGACATTAGTTACATTTATCACAATGTGTCAACATTCTCTTTGTATTGTGTTTTTTCCTTTTTCAGTACTTTAGTTTCCTTGTCCCCTTATCTTCTCATCTTTGTTTTTGACTAATTGTTGATCTTTTGGTCTCATACTGATGGATTTTAAGTAGGAAACCAATCTTACGGGTAATATCCTTTATTTTTTGTGCCATTCTGCTGTTTTGCGAAAAGGTAATCTGAGGGGATAGGCTTGCTTCTAGGTTTAAAGCATGTCTCAGGATGGTAGTCTCAAGGAGTCCTCTGTTCTCTACTCTTCCAGTTTGTCTGGCTTTTTTTTTTTTTCTTTCTTCTTAAATAAGAATTTGAGTTCTACTCTACATTTTTCTCCCATTCTGTCTGGGACCATCTATTGTGACCCTGATCAGAATGATCAGTGGTGACAGTTAGGCACCATTTAGTTCTTCTCTCTCAGGATAGATGAGATTGTACCTTTTGTAGATTTGTTTCTTCTCTGAACTTTTGGTTACGTTCTTACTGTTTTGCTTCTAGTGAGTAGAGACCTGTAGTTGTGTCTTAGGTGAGCACTTCCAAGCTTATAAGACCCCAGATGCTGTTCATTTCACTAGGATGCATATCATAATTTTTGTGAACTATGTTATGCCAATTGACTGAGTTGTCCCATGGGACTATGGTGCTAAGCTTTCGAACCCAGAAGACCAATCTTGGAAAATGTTTTGGTTGCTTCATGCCACTCTAACAGAAATACCACAGATGGATGGCTTTAACAAACAGAGGTTTATTCTCTTACAGTTTTGGAGGCTAGAAGTCCGAGTTCAAAGTGGCAGGCTCTAGGGACTGGGTGAAAGCCCCTTGACCTTGGGCTTCAGTTCTGCCTCTTCCTCCCAGCCCACTGAAGATGCAGGCTTTCTTAACTCAGGCAGGTGCTAGCTGTTGAGGATGACAAGTAAAAAGGTACAGCCCCAATATTACCAAACCACACAGCAGGCCACTAATTCAAGTCTATTAACAGTCCCAAAATCGGTAGACCACATGGCAAGCTGCTGAACAATGACTTGGCTACATGCAGGATTCAAGCATGCCAAAAGCTGCTGAGACCTTGTCCAAAGCTGCTTCTTATATACTGGAAGCAAACCACATCCCTAAAGCAGCTACTCAGCTGCTCATGGCAGATTCCACCATGGAGTTGATTGCCAGTCTCATCATGGGGAATAACTACAATCAGCTGCCCAGCCACTCAAAACCAGGCCCAGCCAAGTTGACCCATAACCTTAACTATCACAGAGGGTGTTTGGTTATGTCTGGGGAGTATCTATCTATATTTGTGTCTTCAATGAATATATGTGCCTGAACCAACATATTTGTATTTACATCCACTTTGGTGGGGTAAGACATTTGGCTACTAACCAGAACATCAGTGGTTGAGACCCACTAGCTGCTCTCTGGGAGGAAAATGAGGCAATCTACTTCTGTAAATATTTACAGCCTTGGAAATCCAATGGGCGTCGCTATGAATTGGAATGGACTCCATGGCAGTATATATATATACATATATATATGTATATATATATACATACACACACACACACACACACACGAAGGTTGGGCAATCCTACTTCCATAGTGATACTGCCTCGGAAACCCAAGGAGGGGTCACTATGAGTCAGGTGTGACTCAATGGTACACCACAACAACAACAACACATATATATACACACACACACACACATATATATACACACACACACATATATATATTCACACACACACACATATATATATATATATATATATATATATATATATATATTTAATATTTCTAAGGAGCTCTGGTGGTATAGTGGTTAAGGCATTTGGCTGCTAACCAGAAGGTCAGTGGTTCGAATCCAGCAGCTGCTCCATGGAAGAAAGATGAAACAGTCTGCTTCTGTAAAGATTTACAGCCTTGGAAACCCAGAGGGGATTGCTATGAATTGGAATCAATTCATTGGCATTAAATTTGATTTGGTTTTGGTTTATAGATATTTCTACTATCTCTTCTCACCTATATACACACCTGTACCTACCTGTATACAAATGTGTCTATACCCATCCATATGTGTTCAAACAATCATTTTTACATTGACTGTGCTGTGCTCCATACATCCACACTTGGTACCACTTTTTCCATCACCAAAAATAACAAATTTCTGTTGTTTAAAGCATACTTCCCCTTCCTCCTCTCCTCTCCCTGGAAATCACCAATGAACATTGGTTTCTCTATATTTATCTAAATTTGTCTTATAAAAGAGGGTTGGTGCAGTATTTCCCTTATGTACTTATTTCATTTACCATTATGCCCTTCACATCCATCCATGTTATAATTAATGTTATGCTACTTTATGTATAGTATAAGAACTTTATAATAGTGTACTTTCACTGCCACATCCTCTTCTTTGTGTTATTATTGTCATTCATTTTGCATCTTGTAAACCCACAATATTCTTTTTGCCCTAAACAGGTAATTATGTTTTAAATGAATTTAAAATGAGCAAAAAATGTCTGTTCTGTTTTCCCACATATTTGCCATTTCAGGTAGTCTCTTGAACTTTTTATACATCCAGGTTTCCATCTGGTATCATTTTCTTTGCAACTGAAGAATGTCCTTAAACATTTCTTGTAATATGGTCTACTAGTTCAAACCCACCAGCCACTCCTCGGAAGGAAGGGTGGGCAATCTACTTCTATAGTGATACCGCCTCGAAAACCCAAGGAGGGGTCACTGTGAGTCAGGTCTGACTGCACGGCAAATAACAACAGTGATGAAGTCTCTCAGCTTTTGTCTAAAAAGTCTTTATTTCACTTTCTCTTTAAAAAGATATTTTCGCGGGGTGAAATTCTAGATTGGCTGTTTATTTTTTGTTATTATTCTAATACAGGTATCACCCCGATACCATCTGGTTTATATAGCTTCTTACTAACAGAAGACTAGATTAAGTAGAAGACAAAGTAATAGCTACTATCCAAAAGAAACACAGAGAAAATGAAATTAACAGCATCAGTGACCTGCAGAACAGTATCAAGCTAATATAGCTAATTTGAGTCCCATGGGTGGTAGTGGAAATCCTTTGCCTCTTCCCTCCACTTCATTTCATTTTTGTTTTTGTTTTAATAGTCTGTTAGTTCTTGTCTGATGAGTTCTAACTTGGGAGGTAGGAGACACATTCATCTGTTGAGACTTGGAAGAAGCTGTTGGGGCTTGAGAAAGGAGAAGGTATGAAAGAGGTCATTAGAATTCTAGTTAATTAGAAATCTGTTAAGGATGACCACTCAGTGTTGAAGGCTCAAGGAGGATGGAAACATAGAATAGTGCCAGTCTGTTGGCACTGATTCTAGATAGGACGTTGAGAGACAGGGGAACTCTTTTTTTAAATTGTGATTTGGGTGAAATTTTACAGAACAAATTCACTTACAATATAGCAGTTTACACTTACTTTGAGACAGGGGAACTCTAGAACCATCACTCTTTTTACGTATATATGCAGACCATTTCTCAGAAAGTTTAAATCAAGGATCACAAATTAGTGTTCTCTTCTCCTGTGTCTGTGCCAAATTTCATTAAACACTTAATAGAACTCTTTCTTGCTGAGTGTGCCAGTCAGCCACTGCCAGTTGATTCTTGAGATAAAACCAATTTTTCTTCCTTGCTAATTTGATTGCATGTCATGAAATAATGATTATTACAGATTACCACACCAGAATTAGGGCCATCCCTATATTTGAGGTTATCTATAAACTTCTACAGGACAATTCTAGAAACTAAAAAATGGCTACGTTTTTCACTGGTTTGTTTGTTTTTGTAAAAATATATGTAAGACAGGATTTGCCAAATCAACATTTTTCAAGTATACAATTTAGGTTTCTCACTGTTTTTAACCTGTGCAACCTAAATTCTGAAATCTAATAGGCGTTTATAATTGTTCGTGATTGACTTTTTGACCTTATTTCTTTTTCTCATTTTATGAATATTTAATGAGCAATTAGATTTAGCTAATGGTTCAAAGTTATATACCTGTCAGAATTTCAAGGCTTAGCATTTTATTCATCTCTTATTCTTTGTTAATTTTTTCCCTTAGCAAATTACTAAATTATTCATTTGAAATTACAGAAGAATGTTTAAAACTCATGCTTTGTAAAAATGATTTCTTTTAAAATTATTACTGTTTTATTTTTGCAGCTGGGAAAAGCAGATACTGTCTCTCACAAATTTAGAAGGAAATCAAAAGTCAAGGAAATAAAAAGTGGAGAAGCAACCAGTGCTCATAATATGACCTGCTCTTCCTTTAGTTCTTTATCAAATGCAGCATATGAAGAAGATTATTATTTGGATGTTTTGCAGAATAGAGAAGACAAAGAATTAAAGAAAATTTCCCTCAATTCAGAATATTTGGATTCTGAGTCATTCACAGAGCTACACGTGGTTGAGAAACTCTCAAATTGCAACCTCTCTGCGCCTTCTTTGTTTGCTGATAACAACTTGGAAATTTTTCACCCTTCTCAATCTACTACAGCCTCAGTTGCCAATGAAGTTTCCATAGCTGCTGCTTTGTTGGAAGAACCTACTGAACACATGCATTCAGACCTTATGGAGATTTGTAATAATGAAACCATATCCGTAACTTCTTATAAAATTTGGAAAGATGATTGTTTATTGATGGTCTGGTCAGTTGCTAATAAGAGTGGTTCAGAATTAAAAAGTGCTAACTTAGAAATTGCTCCTGCAGAAAATTTCAAGGTAAGACAGTGAATGGTTTGTCTTTCTGCCTCATATGATCAATGCTTGTTTAGTGTTTCTGCTGTTAGCTCTTCTAATGAAAAAAAGTTTCTTCCACTTTTTTCTTATCTGTCTCACAAAAAAAAGCAAAAAGTGTGACCTTTTTTATTACTCTAGAATAGGGAAGAATTATTCAAAAGAGACAAGTAAAGAAGGAAAAGTGGTGAAGATTATATTGAGGAAGGCTGTAGAAATAAAGTGAGTTGTGATAGAGCAGAGTAGGAATGTAGGCTCTGGACTCAGACTGCTGACTTGGAATCTTGTCTCTGATATTTATTAGCTGTGTTACCATGGACACATCATTTACTTGCTTAGTGCCTCAGTTTCCTCATCTTTAAAATGAACATATTAATACTGCATACTGTAGATTAAATAATATCTATATTACTTACAGCCATACATGGCACATGTTAGGTGTTACTGTATTACTATTTTCAGGGCATATTTTAAAGTTTTATTTTCCTGTACTCTTTAAATAGTCACATTCATTCTTGTCATTAATACCCAAACAAAATTCTCATATCATTAAGCTTGAAACAATATCAAGGAGTAAGAATATTGAAGGGTAAATGTATATATTGTCAAATTCTTTTTTCTCACACTGATTTATTCTATACTGAGTGCAAGGGAATTGGTTCTGCTTCATCCATAGTTCTGAGAGACTGTCATTGTGATTTTTGTAAGTATACTTATTGCATTATTGTTTGGATGTAATTGGTGCAGTTACAATGAGATTTGACCAGTATATCAGTCTTTCATAAAACTGAACCAGTTTCTTCTTTGAGCTAGAGTGTGTTGAATGAGATATTGCATGGGCCATTGACCAGGGCAGAAGTTTCTGACTTTAGATGTGTATTAGAATGAATCACAGTAGAACTTACAAACAGACAAACCAACCCCCCAATCCAGTTGCCTGAGCACTACAACCAGAGCTTGAGTAGGAGTAGAGACAGAGAAGACACCTGTATGATTTTTTTTTTTTTTTTAATTTAAAGCTTCTAACTATAAAAATCTGGTACCAGCCAGGATTGAGAACCACAAGACTAAAGTTTTAATAATTAAAAAAATATATATATATATATATATGTTTTAATTAATGTTATTGAGCTCTGGTAGGGTAGTGCCTAAGGCACTTGACTGCTAATCAGAAGGCTGGCGGTTCAAACCCACCAGCCACTCCTGGGAAGGAAGATGGGGCAATCTAACTTCCATGGTGATACTGCCTCAGAAACCCAAGGAGGAGTTGCTGTGAGTCGGGTCCAACTTGACGGCACATAACAACAACAACAACAACAAATATTCTTAAATCTCTGTGCTAGGGAACTTTTCTTAAATTCTCAGGCATCTTTGTAATAATGTAATCTGTTATTAATTCCTCATCTTAGTATGCTTTTTACCACTTCAGTTAAATAGAAAATTGGTATCCATGTCATAGTCTGTGTTGATCCTTTTTTCAATACTTTTATTTATAGATCACTGAACAACCTGAATGCTGTTTGCCAATGATAGAAGCAGAAAGCACGAAAAATTTCCAACATAGTGTGCAGATGGAAAAATCTTTTACAGAAGGGACTCTCTCTGGTTTTATAAATTATCAAATGATGGATAGTCATTCTGTTCAGCTGGAATTTTCAGTAACCTTATCATTATTAGATTTTATTAGGTAAATATTTTCTGGAATGTTAATTCAAGTTATTTGTTCAGGAGATATTTATTAGATATCTTCTCTGGACAGAAGCACTATGCTAGATTGTTTAAAAAAAAAAAAAAAAGACGCTGTCCCTACTTTCAGGAAGCTTCCATTCTAGGGAGGGAGACATTGACTAATCACATTAAAAAAATATATATATATATATATATATATATTATATATTACATATTATATATATATATAAGTAAAAAAATATTGTGCTCTGGAGGAAAAATAAATGGTATAGTGAGAGATTATAATATGGGACCTGATTTAATTGGTTTAATTAGGGTCAGCTGGTGATCTAGAGACATTGCTGAGAGAAAGTAACATTTAAACAGAATAAGTTCAAACATAGGAGCTCTGGTAGCATAGTGCCTAAAGCACTTGACTGCTAACTAGAAGGCTGGCGGTTCAAACCCACCAGCCACTCCTCGGAAGGAAGGTTGGG